GCAGTAGGCCACGTCTTTCAAAAAACCATGAACATCAATAGGAAAATTGAGATAATATTTCATCAACAGATAAGATACACATTATTTTTTTACTTTGATTATTACTTTTTATGTAATACTAAAATATCTAATCTTATTACAAGTAGCAAGAAACGGAATAGTAAACAAACTGTAACACTGAAGAACTCACTAAAACAACATATCCTCTTATACAGCTGAACGCACTGCAACAACATTTTGCACTTCCGGTAGAACTCACCACTTAAAAATATCTCTCTCAATGAAGCACTCCTTAAAAATCTATCTACATATATAATTCGACAGAAGAGGTCAAACAAGAAGACGGATCAAACACCACCACGCAGGCTATATATAGATTCGCCAGCCAGCAAGCAAGACGCAGGCAATCCCTCCCATCGTTTGCCAGCCATGCGCACACCCCAACAAGCTCGCGGCGTCTGCTAAGCCGCGGGTCGTGTATCATGAAAAAGGGGGTGGGGGAAGGGATGTATCAAAGTTGGCATTCTTAAATGTGCGTAACTTGAGTTCACGTTTTTGCCAAGTAACTTTAGAAGATAGCAAGTTCACGCATTGCTGTCGCCAATGTTTGTCGGGCTACATCTTGTATACTATATTTTGAGTAAAGCATCACCAATAACAACACACCTTTCCGTGAACGCACGAACTGATATCAGATCAAGTAGTTCATTGGCGACGATGCGTACCACCAGGCAACACAGGAGAGCGGGAGACAAATGTGTAAAAACAGAAGAGTGGGACATGAGTTTGATTTAAAAACATAACACAAACTATTAATTAGGACCACCAAAATATTAGATGTATTAAAGTATTCTTTTATGTTTTCCATGCATAATATTCATATGCATGGATCGTCCAATATAAGATGCTAATCTAATGGATTTTTTGTTAATATTGTACAAAATCATTTCACGCATATTTAATTTTTTAAATCGTATTAATTCAATATTTTATTATTTGAAATAAGTTTTTAAAAAACCAAAAAAACATAAAATGTTTTAAAACAAATTTTCCATACACAAAGAAACCACCAATCCTGTGTAGTAAGACATCATTACTATCATGGTCATATTTACTAATTTAAAATGTATATTCTATAAAGGTATTCGATTCGATAACAAATCAAGAAACAAACAGGTCACTTCTGTAGAAGTTTAACCCCAGGGAGCACTCCGAGGATTGGGGAATAATTGAATTTCTATATCTTTTCTTCTTCTTATATTTGAGTGGCACACGATCAACTTTTTTATCATTCTAGCCCCTGGTTTAAATTCAGAGTTTGCCTTCTCTTAGATGGGTTGCCGTCCAAGGCTTACGAGTCCCATCCACCCGGGGTGCTTTGGTTTGAAACAGTTTAGACCGCTCGACCACCCAGCATCTTTTGGTCTTTACTTTAATTGTAAAAATATATTAATCTGAATGTTTTATTTTAGGTTTATTATGTTATATTATAGGTTTTAACTATTCTGTTTATTTTATTCTAGGTTTTACCTTATGTTTGTTATATTTTAGGTTTTACACTTTCTGTTTGTTATATTTTAGGTTTTACACTTTCTGTTTGTTATATTTTAGGTTTTACACTTTCTGTTTGTTATATTTTAGGTTTTACCTATTCTGTTTCTTACATTTCAGGTTTTACCTATTAAATTGTTATATTTAGGTTTTACCTATTCTGTTATATTTAAGTTTTACCTATTTTGTTGTTATATTTTAGGTTTTACCCATTCTGTTTGTTATATTTTAGGTTTAAGCTTATGTTAGATATATTTTAGGTTTTACCTATTCTGTTTGTTATATTTTAGGTTGTAGGCCTACCTATTATGTTTGTTATGTTGCAGTTTTTACTTATTCTGTTTGTTATAATTTTAGGGGTGACACCCAATTGAAAAATTGCATATTTACAGAGCACACACTGCTCGGTCTAATTGAGATTCATAAAAGAATAACCGATCACGCATACATTTTAAAAAAAAATATAACCAATCGAAATGCGTGTTTTATAAAAGTTCAAGGTCGATGCGAAGTTAATATTACACTGCAGTATCTGCAGACCAAAGGCTTTACTCTTGACAAAGTGGTGACAAACCTAGAGGCCTTAAGATTGTTTCTGCATGAGAAGCGCCGTCACTTGGTGGAGTATGCTACTGAAAAGGCACTTTTAAAATCAGAACAATATTGGAACTTCGGTAGAGAGAAGATGAACGTTTAAGAAGAGAATGACAGGAGAACAATTAATAGAAGCTGGACTCTTTCTGCGAGAATAAAACAGTAGGGAGACGCTGGAGTGTATCAATCGCTTTCATTCTGAACTCCAGATCAGATCATCAGCGATCAAGGAAGTAGTATATAGGGCCTATCTTTGGAGCTCTCTTAGAGTCTAGGATCAGCAAGTGAAGAAGAGTAATTGGTGTCTGTTCCAAAATTAACTTCTGTCTATGATGAGTTATCAGAAGATAAACTTTTAATATAAAAGAAATACCAAGGCTTAGAAGACATCTAAAGGCAGCTGATAATGAATTTCGCAAAGTTATGGACTGGTCAGTATTTGATGTTTGATGTATCTGAATTTTTTCTTTTTAGTTTACAAATTGATAAAAAAATAATTCATTAAGTAATTGTAGATTCGTGTAAGTGATATTACTTTCATTCTTGATAAATTTATTTAAAGAGTTTGACGGGAAATATGAATTCCCTTACTAGCTGGCAATACTGAAGCTCACTTAATACGGTAGATGTTTAAAAGATTGAAAGTGTTCAGATAAAATAGCATTTCAAAAAATGTTGCTTATGTAGAGATTGTCAGAAGTCAAAAGAACGTCAGTTCAGTAATTGATGTAACGGTCTTACAACGTGAACTTACTAGTGATGATTTAACCCAATTTTTGAAGCCGTCATTAAAAAAAACAAACAAAATATACTTTAATTATTCTTTTACGATATTCCTAGATGTTTTCTTTTTTTTTTTTTTTTTAAATACTATTATAAAATACAAATTTTTCTTTGAATGTTTTATTAAAATATTTTGTTCAAAATCAACGTTTTCTGTTTCTCTTCGCTTAGCCCTGGTGTTGTGTAAATAACTAGGCCAGTGAGTCAGGAAAACTAATTAAATTTTTTTTTTTTTTTTTAAATACTATTATAAAATACAAACTTCTCTTTGAATGTTTTAATAAAATATTTTGTTCAAAATCAACGTTTTCTGTTTCTCTTCGCTTAGCCCTGGTGATGTGTAAATAACTAGGCCAGTGAGTCAGGGAAACTAATTAAAATCGGTGTGCATGTTAAATGACTTAGTCCCATGACGTTAAACGGTGACCATTACTGAAAAAGGACCGATTTAAAAAAGCATACATTATCTAACACCATGACTTAAACTATAATGCATTTAAAATTACCAAGATTATTATTTGACTTTTGAAAAGGATGATGAGTAAATGTTTTTTACTGTTTATAAAAAAATCCACCTATTAACTCAACGTTAGTTACGCTTGTACCAGCAACATAGCTGTTAGAAGAGTGGAGCAATATATTATGTGTGCAAAAAATGTGCATTTGCGTATGTAGGGCAATACCAATCAGTCGATGATTTTATTAATTAAGAACATATATTTTGTGGGGTGGAAATAAAAAGTGTTCATTTTTAAGTAGATGAACATATCTTTCAATCCAATGATGTTACAGTCTCTTTTTTTTACCAATAAACATATGTTTACTATTTAAGGAAATTGAAGGCGTTAACAAAAGGTGGGTACATTAAACATAACTAGGCCTATACACATGAATATGAAAACCTAGGCATTTTACACAATTGAATTTTAATCTTAATAATAAAGCCATTTTATGTTGTTGAAAATTTACATTTTATGGGCGTGGACACATATGGGTTAAAATTTTCTTTAAAAACAAAAAATGAAGGTATATTTTTGTTTTTACTTTGCGAAAAGTAAAGTGGGTTTATGTTTTTATAAGATTAAATAATATTTCTCTTTATAAAACCTCTCAAGTGTTTAGAGACGTGAAAAAGCGGTTAAGAGGTTCTGTATGAGACTTAATCATTCTTTGTTTTACGATTTTTCCAATAAGATACATTTTTAATGAAGACATCAATAAATCAATTCATAATACTTATTATGGCAAAGTAACATTTGTGTTGTTTTTTTTTTTTTCCAGATGTGCCGTATTCGGAAAACCGCAAGGTGGAACTAAATGCGGCAACGCTTCTGTTGATGTCCTGCACCACGATTCACCACCATCTGAGGCCTGGCAAGTGCTTGAACAACAGCATGATGTGGATTTTTGCTTCCCAGGGATATTTACAATATTAAGTAAAGAATAAATAAATCATCTTTGATGCAACTGAATCTCAATCTATACTTCATTCTATATCACAAGCTGGTGGAAGTGTGTCCTATGGACTAACAGAAAGTAGGGAATTTAAGTATTTATCATACATGACTCATGATATGATTAGAATTATTGCCCAATATCAAGAGGTTTTATTAATGGATGTCACATATAAAACCAATAAATATTTATATCCATTTTTGACTGTAATGGTTATTGATGGAGAGGGCAGGGGCATTCCTGTTCTTCATGGTTTTGTGAATTAGGTCAAGTCAAATGAGAAAGGTTGTTGAAAGGAGATTCAAGATATCAGGAAAAACAGTCAGTGTCCGCATGTATGACTCCCAGTGCCAAGGAAAAAGTTTAAAATTGCTGGTTTTGTTCTGACTAAGCCAAGCTCTATAGAGGAATAGTTGAAAGTAATTCATTATGAATGAAATTTTCATTATTTAGAATACCTAATTAATTCATAAACTACTGTGTGATTAAATCTTTTAACATAAACAATACACATAAATAATCTTAAATAAAGGATTTAATTTTAATAATTAAATTGATATTATTAATTTTCTAAAATTCAAATGAAAACAATAAATGTAAATAAATCATCTACATTACTAGATTTTAAAAAAAAATTGATATACGAAAATGGCTTAAATTTAAAAAATAAAATAAGAAAGAACAAAAATCTACAGCTGCTAAGAGAAATTAACAAAGCAAAAAAAGAAAAAAAACACCTAAAAATAATAAAACTATTAATTTATGAAATAACAAGGAGAAAGACCAATTAAAAAAAAATAATTCTCATACTATTATTGTTATCACACCCGGCTCCCAAGCCATTTAATCTCGTGCGAATAGACATTGGCGACCATTCATGCAGCCTAAATTCAACTCTCGTATTACTCTCATTTTTGTTTTAATTATTATTTGACATTTCTCTCTCTTTTTTCTCTTTCTTTATTTTCAAATTTCCCAATTTCTGTACTTTTACTTTGAGAACATTCCATTGCATAATCACACATATTTTCAAAAACTTTGCATTGTCTTGTGTTGAAAATGCATAATACAATTTCATTGATCTTGTTAACAGTTATTTTATTTGTACAAAGCTGTACACCTGGATCCAATGGTATTTTGAAGAAAAGCTTGCACTTTTTATATTATGAGACTCGTTTCTAGTACGTTCAACATTTTCTATTTTCGTTTAACATTGATTTATCGTGTGAATTTTTTTTTTATCTTTTGAAATTACCCATCGTGTATCGATGTCCGCTTGGGTTCAATTGATCGACCATTTTAATGAGCTCAGATGTTTGTTTATTTCTCTTGTCTTCATCTTTTGTCTTGTTATCAAACCATATAATCCTATCGCAGCATTCTCTCAAGATAGTTTGAAAGTTTCTATTTGCCTTCGAACACAACTGCTCAGATGTCAGGCCTAAATCATCAATATCAAACAAGTCGCCACAAGTCATCACTAAGATACAAAAACTCTTGATAAAATTTTCACCTAATATGTTCTTTAAATTCCTGATGGTGTCCTCATCTTGAACCGTGAACCTTACACCGTATCTAAAGACCAGAAGAACGGCATGGTATCCACTTGGGTTGGCTGATATGGCCTTCTTCAAGAGATTGATATCACTTTCAGTGCTCATAAAATTGTCGCCAAACCCCGGTCCGTCGATTACTTTGATTTTACGACCATTGTGCTCACCAATCTCGCAAACTACGTCTGTAGTGACAGAAGACGTGCTAAATTTACTAATGAAGGCATTTCGCTTTAAGATTGAGTTCCCAACTGCACTCTTTCCGCTGCCGGTACCACCAATAATTAAAAGATCAAGATCAGCTGTACTTTGCAAGCCTTGACTGATTTGAGATCTGTTATACAACCTGAAGAATCGGGGAATAAAATCTGGTAATTAGATACGTTTTAAACGTACATTTTAAAATAAATCTAATTTAATTGTAATACTCTAATAATTAATTATTAAATAAATTTGTTAAAATTGAATCTTTAAGTATGTATCACAAAAACTAAATAAAATACTAATCCCTGATTATATAACCCTAACGCTTTTTGTATCAATATTGAATTTTAAAACTTAATTTAAAAATGTATGCGCATATAAATAGCCATGTATAATCAAGTATCGTATAATGTTACTGCACTTTATCAAATTAAAACCAATTACTTGAAAAACTATATTCATCTGCATTGAGTTACTGCAAAATCTCATTACAGCTCTGTACACCTCACTTCACCTCATCTCATCTAAGGTTTTGGGGTTGAGTACGAAACTATTTTAGAGGTGCATGTAAGGGTCTGCTCCATTAAATGTTTTACGTTTATAGACATAATTTTGGATTAAGGACGTAAAGCTAATTTTATTAAGAATAAAACCACGATGTCATTTGATATTCGAAATAAACCAAGATTATTTGTAAGGGTGGTATTGTTCTAACGGCGTCAGTCGTCGCAAGGCCGTCTTTACAGCAGCGAAGGTCCAGGGCACAGTAATGGACTGAGGCCCCCAACCCTCTATATATTCAGGGCCGTGCTAAGGAGGGGGCGAGAGGGCCAATCACACCTAGCGTTAAAAACAGGACGAATTACACGATAAAATATCATGTACTTCACATAGACAGGGGCAGCTAAATCGTCTAATGTTGCGCCCTGGGCACCGATTTTCTTGGGAACGAAATGCGACAGCCAACTCTTTAAGTAATGTTATGAAAAGCATTATGGACTAGGTAGGTCTATGCATTTTGACCAGTTTCTTTCAGGTATTTTTTTCCCCGGGGGTAGATTGTAGGCGTTTGGGGGAGGAGGCAGGGCATCTATAAGCAATGAACTTATGAATTTTGATGCACAGGGCTATCTCTGACTACGTTGTCACCGCCATACATAACCACAAATTCATTCTGGTAGTGGAACCCCCCCTGGGCGTATGCTTTTAGCCCCGACTTAGTTTCGTCCATAGAATCTTTATAGTCTAAATACGTGCACCAAACTAAAGGAAATAAAAAAATTTGTACGTTCAAAGGTGTGAGGCCTCCTTGAGGCATGATACCTCATCTAACACTAGGCCTGCCTACAGACGTGAGATGCTGGTCCATAGCGCAGTGTGCCAATGTCTTAAAACGGCAATAATGTTCTTTTCTGAGTACGGAGCAGTGGCCTTGCCAGTGTTATTACCACCCGGGACTAACATTTTAGTGGAACATTATTGTAAACACAAATTCCATTCAAAGCGTTGGTTGATTTTTTTAAAAACAAAAATAAGCCTCTGAACACCATCACCATTTAAATAACCCCCCATAACACCCCAAGCTGAAAAAAAAAATCAAATAAACAAACCTTTTACTATTACTTGGATTGCTGCATTGGTTACCTGAAATAGATACAACAGATAACTAATTTATTTAACACAAGGTGGCTATGATATTATTTGGAAGCAATTATTACGATGAATTTTAGTTATATTTCTTAGCATAGTAAAGCATATGTTTTAATGAGAAGAAATAGGGGACACATGTTTTATAAGAAAATAACAAGTTACTAATCTGGCCAATAACGCTTAACACTCGTCAATGATTTCTCAAACTGCAACATTTTAAAGTATACTAGGTTGAAAAAAGGTAGAAATAGTTTTTAGTGCTTTCACGCAGTTTACCAGCCAAAGTGTGAGTTAACTATGAATTTAAACGGTTAAATGCTTTCCTCTTTATAACACGATAAATCTAAAAAAAAATTAAGGAATTAAGAGAGAAAACTTTTCTTTTATGTTTAGATAAAATTAAGTCAACATGTATATTGTATAAGCTGTACACATCTTTTTGTTTTAAATGTATTTGCGATTATATTATTTCCTAGTTTTTGACAAATTTTTTTCATACACTATTTCTAATTTACATGAATAACCAATATTGTAAAAGAAAAGCCAGAAACATATATTAATATCAATTATTAAGTACTTTATTATCTGCTATTGATTACTTTGATAAAAATGATAAAATTCATGTTCATCCTTTAAAAGAAAAATTAAAAGAAAAAGTCTTAAAGACAGGTATTCTAATTCGCGTGTTCAATCTCCATTAAAATATTATTTACTATTACTACTTTAAAAAAAAAAAGTATGTCAAAAATAATAATAGCATTTAGACATAATTCATAAAACTAAATACACGCTATGCGAAGATTCAAATATACCTAGAAAGTATGTTTTTTATATGCAAATCCTAGTTTTGATGAAATGTATCACTGATGCAAAAAAAAAAAAATGGTTAATAGTATAGTGTATATAAAACAATTGAGAACTTAGATAAAAGAAGCATACAATTTATGTTCATACCGATGATTTAATAAAAAGATCTGGTACGTCAACTCCATACTGTATTAACCACATGTACTATCTTAAATAGCTGCAATGTCTCTTTCCCTTTTTGGTTTTTAAATTTTACCTCACCACATATCTTTCCGTTCTTCCCGAGGTTTGTTTCTGTCAGGAATTAGCCCTCACTCTTATTCTTTCATTTTTAGATAAGATACATATACAGATGTATTAAGTAAATTTCATTTATATTCGTATGAATTTTTGTTATTATTTTTGTTGTTGTTGCACTGACGAAGGCGTTTGCCTTAATGTCTACATTTGTATTCTTTATGATCATTTATTAAAGCTGAACCTACGTTTTTTTATTTACACAAAATGTGTGTGTATGATTACTCTGAATTCTATCAAACTGAAATTGCGTAAGCAGCCGTCAGCTTTGAAGGGTAATACGATGTGTTCATATCTTAAGGGAAAAAAAAAGAAAGCTGATACCAGAATTAACATAATTGTTGATTTTTTCAAAATAATAACTCATGTGTACATACATAAGACGTCCATCCTTTTTTTCAGATCATCTTCTGCTACTTGACGTTTCTCTGTTTCGCTGTCACATTGCTGATTTAGAAGAGCTGAAGAGCATCAATAACATAATATATGTTATAATATAATCTAATATATATATATTAGAGACCGACCGCATTTCGGCTTCGGTTTCGGAACCGAAAGTTGCCATTTGATAACTTCCGTTCTAGTTTCTGTTTCGGCCGAAACAGAAAAGTTATGTTTCGGTTTAATTTCGGTTTCGGTCGAAAGTGATTGAGACTTTCGGGCATCTGGCCAAAAATTAATTGAGGTTTTTTTGGTCATCTACCAGAAGTCTGCCTGTCTGTATGTCTCTAGGCTGGCAATCCGATATTTTAGTATTACTTGACGTCTTGCTGTCATCGTATGTTACATGACAAATTACTTGCCGAAAACTGCTCACAGCTGCACGGTGACCTACTTGTCTTTTATTTCTAAAAAAAAAGTAAATTTCAATTACGCCTAATCAAATCTAAATTGTTTTGTGAAAGAAAGAAAAAAAAATAGAATGGTAATATGTATGTCATTACTTTTGTTTTAATTTGTTCAACAATAAAATTTGGAACCCGAGGTTTATCCAATTCATTCATTTTGATTTTTAATTATCATGGAGATCAATGCTGTCATATTTCAAAGTTTAATATTATTGAATAATCCCAGAGAATTGCAATATTTCCATTATTATTATTTTCAATTAAAATTAAGGCACCTTATGTTGTTTTTTTTTTCTCAATTCATTCAATTCCTGAAATTCACCATAATCGTTCTAATAAACATTGTTTATGACGAAATTAGACACGTATACACGTGTAATACTAATGTAGTAGTGCAACTGCAGAACTGTTTTATGACATTGGCCACCAATTTTAGATACCTCTGGCGATTGTCCGTGGAGACCCGTTAGAACAACAATATCAAGAGACGCGGTATAATAAATATTTCTCCCTCTCCCTCCCCCAATCATTGGGGCGTAGGAGAGGTTGGTTGCCAAACGAATTAAGCACGGAAAGACTAGTGTGCTGATGATACTAGGCTAGATATTAATACAGCGTAATCTTTACAGCGATTCATGAAAACACAAAGTATTAGTATGGCGATCACTGCATAAACATTCTGGTGGTATTTTTTTATAGCCTTAATAACCAATATTTAGGTAGCAATGGTTTCAATTAGAGCAACAATAATTATTGTAGGTATATATTTAGGTATCGTTGTAAAAGCAAGGGTCCCTCAAGGGTCTATTTTGCATGAATTTTGCCCCCCCCCCCTTTTCCCCCAGGTCAAAATTTTCTCTTACCATTCTACTTTAAAATACATTTTAACAAATTCAAATTAATTTGTAATTGAAATGATCAAGCCAAAATTTTCATTAGATGTTTATTTATTAATATTCACGATGATCTCATTTTTAAAAATAGAAGGTAAATATTGATACTTTCCCAATCTTTTTTTATTTTATTTAAGCAGTTTGTATGCGTGATCGAATTTCAAAATATCTAATTATTTCTACCTTGTTTTTGTTTCGGGCGAAATCAGGAAATCACTTTCGATCGTTCTCTAATATGTAAATATATATACCGGGTATATATATATAGATATATATATATATATATATATATATATATATATACACATAAACACATAAACTGGTAGTATTGAAAATATTTCATTTTTTATTTAATAATAAAACATACATATATATATATATATATATATATTTATATCTAATTATTTCTATCTTGTTTTTGTTTCGGGAGAAATCAGAAAATCACTTTCGATCGTTCTCTAATATATAAATAGATATATAGAGTATATATATATAGATATATATATATATATATATATATATATATATATACACATAAACACATAAACTGGTAGTATTGAAAACATTTCATTATTAATTTAATAATAAAGCATACATATATATATATATATATATATATTCTTAATTTTAAATTTCTAAAGGACTTTCCCTTAAAAATAATTTCAAGTTATACTTTTTACTAATTTTTAAGCAACCGTTGTAATTAATTAAGTGATTTTGAATGTAACATTTTTATAGACTTTTGTCTAAAGCTTTTAGGAATATTACATACCAATTGTTTCGTCCCTTATTTTTAAATCACTCTCAAGTTCTTGTTTTTGCTTTTTCTCGTTGTGGTAGTCAAGTTTTAAAGTAGCTGAAAAATTAACACCAAAAATAATTAAGTAAATTTAAAAAAACACGTTTACGGTCTTGAACGAATTGCAAGACATCATAAACCTTAAAGATATTTACAGCATGAATATAATTTAATATCAACACTAATTCTTTTGAGCATATCTATAGTGCTATTATTTTGTAATGTAAAATTGATAATACCATTGTTTTTTTATTACCTATTTCATCTTCCAAAGACAATTTTAATACTTTTTCTTGCTCCTCCTGTTTTGTTAAAGTTGCTGTGAGAACAAATTGATTAGGACAAATTATTTAATTTTAAACAAAAATAGATTTGAGTGTTACATTGATAAAATTCCTTTGGTAGATAAAGGAAGAACTTTAAAACACATACTGAAAAGATTAAACTACAAATTAAATGAAGATTGGTTTTTATTATTATAACAAATTGTTTATGAGAATTCACCAGATCTCAGTTGTTTAGCGAAATATCTTGTTTTTATATAGACAATAATAAAGAAACACATTAATACAAACCAATCATTTCGTTTCGGTTGTTCAACTCCCTTTCTAATGTTTTCAGTTTCTCTATTTCCACCTCATGAAGTTTGTTTTTCTTTTCTGTAAGATATTAAGTATAATTGACATTCTCATTTGTATTTAAAAAATTGATAATAATAAATATAAATATTATTTTTAAAATTAATGGCACAGATGAATAACCTTATTTTTCAATTTATTTGACTTTCATTTTCTATTGCCATTAAGGAAAAAAGGCTATCAACATTTTTTTTAAAAAGGAGTCTTATTAAAATGTATTAAAGTGTTGGTAAATCCAACATTCACTTGAAGCTTTATATAGAATACTATTTAATTTTTAGTGTTATTACGGTTTAATTAAGATAATTTAAATACTCTAGTTTGTGTGAGGACATTCTAGTTTTTGGGAGAAAATTCTAGTTTGTGGAAGGACATTCTAGTTTATCGAAGGACATTCTATTTTATGGGAGGACATTCTAGTTTTTGGGAGGACATTCTAGTTTGTGGAAGGACATTCTAGTTTTTAGGATGACATTCTATTTTGTGGAAGGACATTCTAGTTCTGTTTTATACAATTACAATGAATGGTCAAACAATCATGACAGTTTAATGGCATAAAATAAAAAATCTAGACTTGATAGGTTTGGAATTAAAACAAAAACATTTAAAATGGGGACTTTTTGCCAGTATTTACTATAGGAACGCTTACGTGTTTTAAAAAGTGATATCAATTGAAAGGTATAATTATCATTTGTTTTTTAATTCTATAACTGTACCAAAAAATGTTCTAACATATAATTTTTTTCCAGACTCGTTAATTAAAAACAGGAAACAAGTAATAAAACAACAGAAGTCGACACCAGCCATCACGAAGGAAATAACGGAACAATAGAAAATAAATCATATTTCAAATCTACCCAAATCTCAGGAGATAAACATCTAAAACCATAAATGTATTTACAAACATGATGAAAGAAATGAAAACTTGTATTACCCAACTTAAGACAAACGTGTTCAAGTTTCTTTTCCAACTTTTGTTTCTCGCTCTTTCCTTGTCGATACTTGTGAATAATTTCCACTGAAAAAAATAAAAATATATATTTTTATTAGACATTCCATAAAGTTTTCGTAGATTGAAAACTATCATACAAAGAGCAAAATCTTGTTTTTCAAAGTTACTAATGGGTCTAATTCTTTTCCTAATATCTACATCTAGTTTTAAAACTCAAATGTCTAGAGTAACTACCGTATATATTTGAGTGAGAGTTGCGCCAAGATTCTTCTTCTTCTATATCTTAAGGGCCCATGATCAATTTATTGATAATTTTGACTCCTATGCATGTAGATGGGATTTGCAATGTTTCTGTTACTGGTGGTGATGAGTAAATCATGCACTAGGGGTTTGAAGGCTTGAGGCAATAGACACAAATGTGTCTAGTGTTGTCGCCTCAACCGTTCCTTTTGAAAGATTGTTCCAGTCCCTGATTGTCTTGGGCAGGAATGAGCAGCTCCTATACTGGCTTCTTGCTGAGCCTGAATTGCCTGTCATGGCCTCGTCGCTGTCTATGGGGGAGAGGGACGAGTTTCTGTTTAATACTGGAACAGTGGACCAGCCCATTATTTATCTTGTACATCATGGAGAGCCTGGATTGTCGTCGTCGTTTCTCCAATGGTGACCAGCCTAGTGTTTCTAGCATGCTGCCAACACTAGAGGTATTCCTGTAGCAGTTTAGGACAAAGCGTGCTGCTCGTCGCTGGACCGCCTCCAACCTGTCAATGCTATTCTGTGTAAATGGGTCCCAGACTGAAGATGGATAATCTAAAATCGGAGGATAAAGGCTTTATGTGCTCTTTCTTTCACACTAAACATTGTTAATATGCTCGTCCCAGCGGACCTCTCTTTTAATGGTAACACCCAGGTACTTTACGGAGGAAACTTGCTCAAGTATATGGCCGTGCAGTTGGTATTGGTAGTGTAGAGGAGTACAACTTCTAGAGACTGATAGTGTCTGGCACTTGGCAGGGTGAAATTCCATGTCCCAGCTCATCTCCCACTCAGCTAACAGATTGAGATCCTGTTGTAGCTGGTCCTGGTCAGATCTTTTGGCGATCGTCCTATACACTGCTGTGTCATCTGCGAACAGTCTTGCCTGTGATGTCTGTTTCTCGGGTAGGTCATTAATGTATGCTAGGAACAAACAGGGGCCCAGGACTGATCCCTAGGGGACCCCTGACTTCACATCGACAAAGGAGGAGCTTGTACCGCCCACCACTACTGCTTGACGTCGGTGGCTGAGGAAGCTAGAGATCCATGTTTTAGTGATGCCTTGAATCCCATATCTCTGGAGTTTGTGTAGAAGCAAACTATGATTCACACGGTCAAATGCTTTTGCGAAGTCCATTACTAGCACGTCAGTCTGCTTGTGGTTCTCCAGATTGGTCATCAGGTCTTCTACAAATCCGAGAAGCTGGGTCTCACATGATCTATTGACTCGGAAGCCATGTTGACAGTCATTGAGTATATTTTGGCTTTCACAGTGTTAGAGGGTCCCCTTTTAATGTTATTATAATTAATACTTGTTCAACTAAAACGACAACAATGTCATCACAGCAAGTTGAAAACTGATAAGCACTTATCATAAACTGGGTTATCTTTGATAAATCTTTTTTTTAAATTAAAAAACATTTCTCTACTCAGGCGTAAGTAGGAGCAATGGTGAATTATTTTTCTATTTTTCGTATAACTTAATATTCCGCACTGAATTACAGTAAACAAACATGATGTCGAGTTGATTGGTTGCATCTTAGAGTTTCTTTGAAATTTAGGTGAAAGTGTGCGAGTGTTAACGGTATTATTTGTTCTAAATACATTTTTTAAAAGGTATGTATACAAAAATTAAATTGTATTAATGTGCCATAAAATTAAACTGACTGATTTGATCAATAGTCTAAGTTTTTTTTTCCAAGTCTAAAATCGCTAACATATTTACCGTAGGGCTCATGCAAACATGGGAAAAAGAAAAGCTTTTTTCTCAATGTGTCATACTTTGTGGCCACTTGTTTATGTCCTTTTTTCGTCTCGGATTTTGAAACCAAATTGTTGACCTGATGAAATCAAAGAAACATTTAACATGACAAATCATTAATTTTTTTTTAATTTTGAAAAAAAAAGTATAATTGTGGTCTTTAAGTATCTCAATCAAAAGATCTCTATAAAATCCAGAAATGTTTTACGTAAATGTCTGAATTTATACATTTCAGCATCTACAAATATAGTTTTCAATTTTTTTTTAAAATTCCTTCAATCTCATGTTAGTAATTATGTCTAATATTTACTACTTTTGGAGTCACAAAATCCTTGATATCCGAACTTTTATAGGGTCCGTTATGTGGATCATTTTCATACACATATCAGGGCCCAGTGGAAAGAAAATAACCAACTTCGACGCAGAACTCGAAGCAATACAGGTTGCCATTATAAGAGTGCAGCTACTCCTGGCCAAGAGGAAGAACCACTTTACTGACTCGAGCGTTGCTCTTAAAAGCTTGGGAAAACGGCTCGACGCCAATCTGGAGACAGCAAATGGCATACACGCCCTAGCCGCCAAGGTCTTTCTACAGTGTATCCCTGGGCACGATGAGGTGACGCATCACGACAGGGCCAACAACCGAGTGTGAGAGGGTGCGGTACAGCCCCAAACCGACAAGCCCAGGACTCGGCTGGAAGCCAGGGCGAAGCTGAAAGACCCCTTTCACCAGGAGTGACCTAGTGGCTGGGCGGCAGGGCATACCGGATGGCAGCTGTAACGGGAGATGCAGCATGCGAACAAAAGCGATCCGTTATGGAAACTAAAGACACAAGAAAGAACCCGGTAACGTAGATGCGGACGGAACACTGCGCGAGTTGAAGCTACTTCCACCGACTATACACGTGTATGGATCCCAACTGCAGACTCTGTGGTCATGCCAACGTGACCGTGGAACACCTGGTGGTTGACTTCCCCAATAACGTTGATGGCGTCGGGGGTATTAGCTCGGAGACCTGTTTTGATAATATCATAAATGGGGATGCCCTGTAGATGAGGCAAACTACTGTTATATTGGCCAGGGCTGTAAGAGCATGAGCTCAGCCCTTACAAGAGGATTTAACATAATATACATATCTGCTAATGTGTAGATCAACGGCTTTTCTTTTCGTTCTTTTTTTTTTTTAAAGTTGTCCATTTTGAAAATCATTTGCTTCCCCAGTCACAAACGATTCTCATCATAAGCCACATAAGTATCTGATTTTAAGGGCTTAGGTTTGGGGGTGGGGGTAAAGTTTTGATTGAAAGTTTTGTCATTGGCAAAGAGTCTATGTGCCAAGAATAAGCTCGATATGCTGACGGCAAAAATAAATTATTATTTTTTCTTTAATTTTTCAAGGGCAAGGAAAATGGGGTGGAAACTAAATTTTATTAGTTTTTGAGTACTTGCGTTAAATTGTTTACGTCATAAGCATTATTTCAAAACTCAATAGCATTCAAGATTTGAAAATTGGTACATTACAATTATTAACTATTTTAAAAAGTAAATATATATTCTTTTTTTCACAAGGCATATGACAGGCAATTTGGATGGTGTTACATTTATTAACGAAAGATTACAACACATTTTTGTCAAAGACTTTACGTTTGGTTAAAATTTATTTTTAAATTAAATATCCACATTCTTTAAATTACGTCAAAATTAATTCGCAGTTTCTACCTTATATATAAGCATTCTCTGTTTGACAATTTTGTGAAATCTATTTCAGGAACGTGGGAAAATGTTGGGTATATTTTTCTAAGAAATTACCAATAAATAAAATACGTTAATTTTAAATATATTTCCTCAACTTTAATGCTATAGATGTGTTTACACTTTTAAGAAAATATGTTATATTTGTAATTAACGGATGCTATAAGGCTTCCATTATCACTAACGTGCCACATGGTTATTTCTTAATTTATTTAAAATAAAAGAACTTAAAATCACCTTAAATTTCCTTTTTTCTTGTTTATTCATTTTAGTATAATTTCCGTTGCTAGTATTTTATTTGTAAAACTCTTGTCATTCACTACACCCCCCTTTCTCCCACCTTCTATAATATAAATGTTTCACACTTTTGATAAACTATCACGACAGCCTCAGTCCAAGTCACATGTGCTCCATTTGAGGTACCTTCCAATTCATCAGTTCTTCTCAACTTCATGCTAAACCTCTTCAACATTTCCTGATTTCAGCTTTGTGTTTTCCACTTTCATTGAACCGCAAATCTGTTACCCCCAAATGAGGCTTAGGCTGAAACAGGGTCAGTTCATGCAAAGCCTCTTCAAGCTTTTTCAGTCTTTATTGTCTGAGCAGGACTGGGATTATCTTAATATAAACTGTGATTAATTACAATGCAGTCATTATATCTGCACTCATATTGGAGACAACTTTGCTGACATCTTTTATAAATCAGTGATTCCGTATGCCGAAAGCCTGTTGTCGGTTGTAAAGCTATTGCGTTATCAAAACTCATTTTGTAATTTGGGATCTCGCTTTAAGTTTTTGATCAACTTTTTCCATTGCCCTGATTTCGTACGCGCCTTGGTGGATATATGAATATGAAATGGTAGTCGTCAAAAGCAACGATTAATCATTTGAATTGTACAATAATATATTTACCAAAGTCATCAAATCATTTAGATTATTCTTGTAGGCATACTTCCTAAATACATAGCATATGGCTTGTATGTACCAACTGCCATATGTTACATTACGCCATGAAACACAACCTGTAAAAAAATATTTTTAAGAGCTCATATATTATAGATCAATATTTTAAAAAATGCATATATGTTATTCCATTCCAAAACTAATATGTGGCATTGATAATTGATAAATTAAAAAAACATATCAATTGTTTTTCATTTTAAAACGTATGGTTTTCAGGGTTTGACGGTAAGACGTGCGAACCAGAATGATGGATAAGGGAATATATTTTGGCCAAAATGTACAAAGTTCCAGTTTGATTGGGAATTGTTGATAATACGAAATAAGTAGCATTGGCTTAGTAATTGATTAGAGTTTCAATTTATATTCGAATAATATTTTTCCAGGTGGGGGAAAATTTTGAACAAAAAACAATTGAAACGTGTTATTAGACCGTAACAAATTAACTATCTTGTGAAATTGCTCTTTCAGCTTTCAAACTAAAACCCACTTCACGTCCACCAAAGTATGAGTGAAAATAAAGGTCAACCGTTAATAATCTTTACTCCATTGAGAAACGCCTTTTCTCTCCCCCCCCCCCCCCCGGTCTTCTGATAACAAGTGACGACTGGAGGAAAGAACTGTTTACAAACGCACGTACGCTTTTGAGATGCTTACATAATTTTTTTAATTTTTAGATTTAGAACTAAAGCTCGTTTTTGAAACCTGTAAAAAGTTGGAGATGGTGAGAATGTAAAAATCAATGTGAAACCATGTTTTTCTTCTGATTCTGATAAGATACGTTGCTGCATCCATGATCTGCCATACGTGCAAAGGTTTGCGAAACGACGAGGCTATTTACCTTCATTTTTAATAAATTTTTATCTTTACACATTTTTACTAATGCTGGAGGCTGGTAATGGGAAATTTGCTCGAAGGAAATTTCGTTGACGGAAAATTGATGGAAAGGAAGTTTGGTTGAACGGAAGTTTGGTCGAATTAGTTTTTCAGTTCACACCATCAAATTTTCGTCGAATTTCTTTTTGAACGCATTATACTAGATTGTGAAACAAAGTAACTTCCGTTCGATCAAATTTCAGTTCGATAAAACTTTCGATCAATTTTCCGTCGACGAAATTTCTTTCAAACAAATTTCCGGATGCGCTGGAGACCTGTTATTTCGATTTCAATATTGTTTAATGATTAGCTTGTAATTCTACTTTGTAATCCTACCTTCAACTGTGGCCGTAGACAGAAATATGTCAGCTTCACTTGGTATCTTTGTACCGTCTGTTGTTTCTTCATCCTCAACATAACTAGAATTGGCAGCTTCACTGTATGGGGAATCATTCTGCTCAGATTTTATTGGTGAGCTTTCAATATTCAAATGGCTCACCCTGCTTGGCTCATCGTCAATGGTATGTCCAGTGTCTAATTGACCTGAAAATTTCAAGTTATGTTTGATACATTAACAATGGAAATAAAACTGTGTCTGGCTTTAAACATCATATTTATTTGATGAATGACTGGTTAGATACATACATATATATATAGATATGACAACGTTTTTTTTCAATAGAGCGAAACATGTCTGACATGACGTAATGCTCTTAAAACATTGTTCCAAATTTGACATTATGGCCCTTTAAACTCGATGCATGATTTATTATAAATAGTTCGATATATTAAGACATAAATACAAAATAAATCAGTAATTAATACTCTGACATGTTTTATTTTTATTATAATATAAAAACTATGCATGAATTTTTTATTTGTTTTCAGTTACAATTTGAAGGTAAATATATAACAAGATCAAATGAAAAATAACTAATTTGTATTAGTCAACAATTATATTTTAATCTTCTTTAAAAGCGAGTTTGTTTCACCGCGGTATTTGGTTAATTTTATTGGGCTGTGTATGTTGTTTGTTTTTTTTTAGGATAAAAAATTAAATTTTCGTGACAGATACTGGTTAAAATTACAAACACAAAACATTGATTTAAAAAGTACACTATATTTTCCCATACCTCCTTGGCAGGCTTGAATGAAGAATAATTTAGGCTTCCCCAACAAGGATTTATTTTCTGAAAATAATCTTCTAATATATACAATAGATAGATTATTGTCTCTATTCTGGGTGTTTGCATCGGTTCCCAGCACTACACCTCGGTCACCGTGGCTCAGAATGAAAAGTATGAAACAGTCGTGGTTGCTGTAATCATTCTTTGATTCTCTCAACAAAGTCTCTTCCATTTGCTAAAGGTTTTTAAAAAATGATTATATATATATAATTAAGCAAATTTAAAAAAAAAATCTTACAGTTTTACATTCAGTGTATTAAATTTAATTTGTATTTTTTTTTAACTAACATCTTTGCGAATATATACAGCTTTGCTCAGATTTGTATTCGGAGTTAGTATTTGCTTAAAAAGGATTATTTATCGTAGGTTTACAAGGTTTGTCCTAGATGTAACAGTGTACGTAGATTCTAGCATTGTAACTTTAGACCTCTTATTAGCTTTGGTTAATATAAATAAAATACATTTAAAAACTACTACAATCATTTAGAACTCTCTAGAACATTTTTAAAAAAAATATATATTTAAATCTTCTTTCACCATATTTGAGGACAATCATAGAAACATACAATCACATAAGTAGCAGGAAACGAACATGTATATAAACATAAAACCTTTATAAAAATTCAGACTTTCTAGGGTAAAAACCTTCAGGAATCTTTGAAAAAGATATGATAAACGATACCGGGAATATTCTGCCAAGAAAACTATACAATTCTATAAATGTTAACTAACTTTCCCATTGAAAATTCTGCCTATATACAAACGTGAAAGAATAGAGAACTTGGGAAATTCTATAATTTTTAATAATTAATTATTTCGAGACCAAAATATTTACAAAAAAATGTCAAAACTCTATAGTTTAACATTAAATTTGAAATACGTCCCTGGTAGGGTTCTATAGTGTGAAGTTTTAGTTACCACTAAGATAAGGACCCAAAAATAACTCATTAGAGAAATGGCA